GCAAGCAGTGCACGATGCTTGCGGAGCATGAATAGAAACACCTCAACTCGTGAGCCTGCAACAGTCGAAAACCACCGTCGAGACAGGAGGTCATGATCGGGAACGCCTTAACTAATGAGTCGATCTGACGAGCTCTTCCGAACGCCGAACACCCTGTCCTGTTCCAGTGGCGGTGGCGGACAGGTACACAGCCTGTCTTAGATCGCATCCGTGAAGCAACCAAACGCATGAACACTTTACGGTAGGGCTCCAAGGAAATCCTATGCCCACTGATTAGATTACACATGAAGTCGTGCGTAAATATATACCAGAACTTAAACTTGCATCAAGCACGTCCTTAGGAGGGTGGAGGAAACACTGCTGGTTGATCGAGCCACTACGGCATAGCCAAGAAAGGGCAGACCCTGCATGATCCTGCACGGAAGACTCCCGACAGTCCCAAATCCCGCCATGAAATTGACCTCCCGCACAGGCTATCCTGTTGCGATCAGGCAGAGCAAGTACCCCACAGGTTCACCCACATACCAAACACGACGAGGGCGGCATAAAGAACCACCTGTGCAAGATCCTGGCTTCACGGGCGACGCATAGCACTCCACATCCGAGACTGGGCTCAGGGCAAGTCAAAGTAACACAGCGGATGTGCAATCGAAGCAACTGTCTGCTGGGAATCCTCTGCAGTGGCTATTGGGTTCGTGGGGCAGTGCACTCGGGAGCCTGCACTCGCGAGCGCTGTCATGGATCGATTCTAGATCGTCGAAAGAGATGTCTGGGGCTCTAGGGCGAACTGTCGAGCCACTCTTCGTCCGCCTCGCCTCCGGTGCAGAGCGTACGCCGGGTAACCCCCTATACCCCCCGTGGGGTTGCTGACGGGCGGAGGTTGCTGACGGGCGGAGGGGCGGACCCGACCAGAGGGGGGGGGGGGTAGTTAGATAGATAGTTAGTATCTGACGGGCGGAAACCCGCCACGCGCCGGCGGAAACCTCTAACCTCTAACCCGTGGGTACTTGACGGAGATAGTTAGTATCTGACGAGCGGAACTCGTGATTACTTGACGGAGATACAGGGTTGAGCTGTACGACTTTGGCTTGAACCAAAAAGTTCAGTCGCAACTTAGAAAGGTTGCGTTGCCGAGAGCACGTTTTCGTGCCGTCAAGTTGACTTGGACTGACAATCCACTACGCACGTGAACAACATCGAATGCCTCCAAGCCCAATCCCTTTGCTTCCTATCTCTCCTGCTTGGATGATCTCGGAGCACAAGCCCATGAAAGTGCTTGCCACGACATGCCAGCACAAGCTTGTCTTAGCTATGTTGAAGCTTTCGCTGCCCACTTGCGCAGTGCATTTCAGGTGCGCTTCAGATTCTTGGCGTTTGGCAACATGGTGCATTGCAGGTGCGTGTCAGGTGCATGTCAGGTGTGCTTCAGCGTGGTCGGCGATTGTGGTCGACAGGGTCCTGGCCGTCGGTTGGTTCGGAACCCCCAGGATAGGTTGCTAAGGCTTGTAGGCCTAAAGTCACGGTTAAAGTCGGGTAGACGAAGACGGCCATTCCATGAGGACCAGCAGCTGAACCAAGGGGACCAACAGCGCAGTCAGAGATCACTTTCCAAGCTGATGCCGTGGATTGCTTCTCCTGAACCCCCAGGACAGGACCACAAGTCTTAGCAAGCAATTGTCGGGGTTAAAAAAGAGCATGCGGACAACTGGCTCCAGCAATGCAAGTTATGGCTGCAAGTAGCAGCCACAAACTGAGCGCTGCAGCAGACACAATCAAACCCCCAGAATAGGACCACAAGCCTTAGCAACATATCCTGGGGGTTCGCGACAAGCAGCCCCCAGCATCAATTTTGTTAGTCATCTCTGACTCCGCTGTTGGTCCCCTTGGTTCAGCAGCTGGTCCTCATGGAATGGCCGTCTTCGTCTACCCGACTTTAACCGTGACTTTAGGCCTACAAGCCTTAGCAACCTATCCTGGGGGTTCCGAACCAACCGACGGCCAGGACCCTGTCGACCACAATCGCCGACCACGCTGAAGCGCACCTGAAACGCACCTGCAATGCACCATATTGCCAAATGCCAAGAATCTGAAGCGCACCTGAAACGCACCCCAAAGGCACCTGAAATGCACTGCACAAGTGGGCAGCGAAAGCTTCAACATAGCTAAGACAAGCTTGTGCTGGCATGTCGTGGCATGCTCCCTGATGCCATCACACAGCAGGATGCGAAGCAAAGACATAACATAGGCTTGTAGCTAGTGGTGTGCACGCACACTTTTGTTGCCAACGGTGGTCGTGGTGGATTTTACGTTGTGTGGCATCTTGCCTGCCAGTTGCTTGGCCAAAACTTGACAATCGAAACGTCACAAAAAGGTTTCACCACTTCCTCCAAAAAGGCTTACAGCTCAACCCTGAGATAGATAGTAAGTATCTGACGGGCGGAGGTTGCTGACGGCCCGGAGGTAGCTGACGCGCGGAGAGTGGGTAGCTGACGGGCGGAGGTTGCTGACGGGCGGAGGGTGGGTAGCTGACGGGCGGAGGTTGCTGACGCGAGGGGGGTGGGTAGCTGACGGGGCAGAGATTGCTGGCGCGGGGGGTGGGTAGCTGACGGGCGGAGGTTGGGCGGGTAGCTGATGGGCGCAGGTTGCTGACGCATGGGGGCGGGTAGCTGACGGGCGGAGGTTGCTGACGCGCGGAAGGTGGGTAGCGGACGGGTGGAGGTTGCTGACGGGCGGAGGGTGGGTAGCTGCCGGGCGAAGGTTGGACAGAAACCTTTAACCTCTAACCCGTGCGTACCTGACGGAGATAGATAGTATCTGACGGGCGACCTCTGACCCGTGGGTACCTGACGGAGATAGATAGTATCTGACGGGCGGAAACCTCTAACCTCTAACCAGCAGGTAACCGAAGGGGGGTTAGAGTAAGAGGTTAGGTGAGGTACATGATGCTCCGGTGGTTCCCAGGACGCTTGTCCACCGACTTCTGACCCGTCCAAGTCCTAGCTTTGCTTCCATTGGAAGAGCCCCTACATTCTACCGTCTGCGACAAGTGTGGTGCACTACGCATTCACAGGGAAGTGAGTCTGTGATCAGAAGCTTCGAGAGGCGACAACTCCACAGTAAACCATGCCATCATGGCGAGGATCGACAATCCACGCAGCGAATGAGGCTCGTTCAAAAAAATGCAATTGGCCTTGTCTACGAACTGGAGCTGCGAGACCGGAGCAAACGTGTCCTGCACAGAAAGCACACGACTCTCGTGCAAAATGTCCGGAGTATGCCAAGCACGAAGCAAGTGGTTCTGTGGCTTCACCCCGAAAGCTCGATGCACACCCGATTGAACCGAGGTCACGGCAGAAACCTTAGGACCTTAGGCTGCGGGGGTGGTCTGCTCCGCTAGCGACGAGCGGGTGTAGACCTGAGCACGTCTGCAAAACGCTCATAATTATGCGGGCAAGTCAGGGAAGTCTAAGTTGAATGCGTCGCAGACTGACAGCGAGAGAGACAGAGAGACAGAGAAGAGAGAGAGAGAGAGAAACAAAAAGAAAGAGCGACCGAGCGAAAGCGAGCCGCGAGCCGCGAGAGCGGAAGAGAGCGAGCGGAGAGAGAGAGAGAGAGAAAACAAAAAAGAAACGAAAGAGAGACAGAGAGACAGAGAGACAGAAAGAGTCAGCGAGTTGGAGTGTTGTCCAAAACTTTGCTGGATGCACATCACTCCTACATAATCGTACATACCACTAATGCCAAAGCAGACAAAGCCAAAGCACTCAGTGAATCCAGTGCTCGCTGCATTTGATGCTTTGCTGTCGCGATCCAAAGAACATGCGATGTTATCTGCTCCCTCCTAGCTGCTCCTTGTATCTGAGATCCCCATCGAATTGCGTAGTGTATGTTGCCACAGCACACCAAGCATGCAAACAACAAAAACAAATCACCAGCGCCTGTAAACGACAGGCATGCCCCTGCCAAAGCGGCGGTGTCTCAAATGCCCCTGGACAGTTCCTTAAGCCAAGGGAAGTGCCAGGAGGTACTGGAAGCTCTGCAGCGGCAGGTTCTCGGGCACAAGGATGGAGGTCAGCTCGACCTCAAAGACTTAGTGCTTGAGAGGACAGCCGAACGCGTCCGTCTGAACGTCAGTGTGCACAGGCTTTGCTCCCCTACGAATACCCTGAACTCAACGCTGTTAGGCCCCTGAGAGCTCTTCACCATACGTTGAGCGGGTGACGGGTAAGAAGCCGCCCACTGCTTGCCGTCCCCGGGAGTTGATTGGCAAGGTACACCTGGCTGTTGCTGCTTCGATGACTGTTTCTGATGGCACCTCTCCATAGTAACCCATTGTCGAAAGCGAGGACTTGCGGGCACAAACTGGCCTGAAAGAACCTGGGTGCCTCCTGCTTTGAACTTTGGCACGGACAATCAGCAACCATAAACATATCCCCTGTGCTGCTTGTGATGAAGCTCTCAAGTCTCAAACCAAAGAGAATGAACTACGACAGACCTGAAGGAAGCGGTCTGCGAACCGCTTCGAGAACTGGCCAAGTTTGATGACAAGATCCGCAAGCTCGAGTTCTGGCTCTTCTGGCTGCAAACTTTCATGCCGGGCCTGGTAGCCCAGAACATAGCCTGAGAAGCAAAACTAGCGCAAAGCGACAGCACAGCGTCAAACCAACCCGCGACATTGAAAGACTCTTCTGCCCTTTTGCCACCTGGGGCCTTCATGCTCCGAAACTCAATCAACCGCTCAATTTCCACCCCTCCTGTTGGCCCAGTGACGACTGTCGTTTGCAGGATTCCAGGAAGCGTTTTCGCCAACAAGGTCCTGCGAGTCTAACAGTTGGTTCCGAAGCCTTCAAGCTCTCCTAAACCGCGAATGCGCTAGCACTGACCCAACCTTGACCTTTAAGCGCTTGATGAGCAAGCCTGAATGCAAGAGGCGGACCTGGAGGCAAAAGTCCGTCCCGGCCTCGTCCAGGAAGGTCAAATCCTCGATCCGCGACTCTGTGTCAACCAGCTCCGTGGAATCCGGTGTCGTCTGCCCAGATCGCGCTAAGTGCTAACTCGCTCACATCCCCTCCACTCGACCTGGTCTCATCAAGCCTCCCTGCGGAATCACAGCTTGCACTACCTTTAGAACGGATGAATGCATAGCGCACCCATCGGAATCTCCGTCTTTCTGTTCGTCAGGCGTGTCGGAATGGTCCTGCAGAGGTCTTAAGTCAATCCTCGCCTCCGAGCCTGGCATCGCACCTCTGATATACTGGCATGATCATGCTTGCAGTGCAATCCACAAAGTGTGAGGAAATACCCCTCAGCAAAACACAAGGATCTGCCAAGGCCTCCCGGTCTGCGCTGGGGGCGAATATCGTACTCATGACATGTCATGAGTCTAGAAGGATTTGGCCAAGAGGCGCAAATGAGTGAGAAAGCGCTTTAGTGACTTTAGTGCTTTAAGTTCAGTCTGAGTTCATCATCTGGAAAGCAAGTCTCTCCGCATCTGTGCGGCTGGAAAAACGCAAAAAAGCGCCTTTGCATCCGAGAGATGGATGACGAAATGTTGAAGCCTCAGTCAGAGGGTCTTTGCAGTAAGCTCAAGTGCCGGCAGTGGCAAACCCGACCATACTGCACTGTCTGTGTAGTCGGTGCAAAAGATCCCACTGCCCAGCCATGGCACTGCCAAGGAGAGCGTGCCTGGCCGGGAGGTTGGGTATGTGGACCATAAGAGAACAAGGGCGGCCCGTAACTAGTTTTGGAATACAGAAAAATTGGCTCTGGTACTTCGTACGTGCAGGAACGTCCGTTAAGGGCCCCAAACATGACTCAGACCGTGCATCGGGCTCTGTCTTTGCCGGGACAATTCATTCCATGCCAGAAGTCGATGCTTTGCCTCCGATGTCTCCTTCATCCAAGTCCTGCGGGCGGTGCTGTAGTTGTGGGCCAAAGTTATGGGCACGTGCGGTCCTGGGGGAGCCGACCGAGAAAGGCGTGCCAGAAGGCTGCGAGTTCGGTTTACGAAGTCTGGCAGTTCCTACCTCAGCATGTCGCTGCCCAAGACATTGCGCAAATTTCAGGAAAATATTCAGGAAAATGGCTTGCTATTTCCTTGCTATATACAGCTACGTTCGTGGATGTAACTCTTTGCACAGCAAGGACAGCTTCTGTGAGAAAGCCAGCGCCAGCCGCCAAAACACTCCGAACAATCTCGCCAAAATGTGGCTGGGCCGCAAAGTGCCCGCTGACAGCAAAACATACAGGCAGGCTGCAACAAGAAGTTGTTTTTGTTTTATAGCGTTCCCCAGGAAGCCCGCTTCAAGTTAGTTCGTGATGCACTTCGGCTGCTGAATCCTGACCTGATTACGGCTGGTACCAGTAACTCGGGCGCATGTCACACACCCAGTCACCCGCTGCTTTGGCAAATGTCCTCATGATCGGTGAAATTCACGGCCAAGGTTGGGAAGGCATCGCTGAGCTCCTTTCGGGCAGGGTTGGCACTGTGCTTGCATCGTTGCCAACGGGTATTGCCCACAATGCTGTGCGACTGAGCACGTGTCACGCGGCCCAAAAGCATGCGGCATGCGAGGAAGACTTTTTGGGAGACAAACTGAGTCCTCGAAAACCGGCGTACTTTGCTCAGCCAACGCGGAGCGCGCATAGACCTTGATGCTCATCGTGTGCTGATGAAGAAAGGAGCACAAAAATGAGCGAGGTACATCCACGTCCAAAACCACTGCGTGCATTGCACCAACGGCCGGAGCATGCACTCGCTCCCGGACTGCTGAGAGTCGCGATGCTCATTCAGCTAAGCCACTGCCACGTGCTTAAAAGCCATCCAGCCCGTGTTAGGCGGCAGCTGTGCCTGCTGCAGGAAACTGCTTCTGAAACAAGCACTACGCTAACGACGTGTTAGCCAAAACTTTTACATAGGGTGCAGTGGCTCCTTTTGGATGGTCGAGTCGCATAAATGCGCCCGGCCGAGCACACCGCCCCTGCCCCTGAACCACTGCCGGTGCCGGGGTGCGCACTTCTGCGTCCACCCCGTAGCAACCGCCCGGTGGGGCGGGTGTCGGCCGTCTATAATGGCCATCAAGCAGCAGACAATTCATAGCATAAGACTGGGACGACCAAATGCATGACCTCCAAAGTTTGAGTCGCGATTTACGTGACATTGCCCTTCGACTGTTGAGAATGCCCGCCATCGCCCAAAATCTATGCCGTGCTTTCGCTGAGCGATGTTTCAGAGTGAGACCTGCAGCATTATCATAAGCAATGACGGCACCAAGGTACTCCACCTTATCCACAATTGGGATGTAGTCCTGTGGTCCAGAGCCAAGAATCAGCCGCAGTTCATTTTGAACTTTCGGTGTCAATTTCTTCCTCAGATCACATCGCTTGGTGCCTTGAATCGGATGTCCTTGGCGTTTGTGGGGTTGATCAGCATACCCATTTCACAAAGAATGGAGATAACCTTGTTGATATCATACAATCGCCTGATATAATTCTTGTTCCGTGTTGAATTCGAAAGCGAGATGATGATCGTCAGCAAACAATGTCAAAGGTCCGTATCCATCTGTAAAGCGATCAAGCCTGTGAACGCAGCCCATATTATGAGCGAGGCCTTGCACCGATATTTCTCGACTCCCCCGCATGCTCCAAGTGATAGCGCGCTTGCTCCAACCATTGAAGTAACACAGCCGTGACATCGTAAGGTACACGGGCGGCATCAAGTGCTAGCTTGATTCTAGACCTGGGAACCAAGTCGAACGCCGCCGACAAGTCTAGGCATACTTGCAAGCCGCCAACGCAAGCCTGAGGTCGTGCACCTTGTTTTCGATCATGCGTGGATGGGTTTAAAGCTCTACATTTGACATTGATGCGATTACAGTGATCAAAGACACGTCTCAACGCCATTCCAGTCGACCTATTCGGCAGATATGCGAATTGAGGATATTGTTTCAACCAGTGTACAATCCATGGTTTAGCGCGCGAGGCCACCAAATCAATTATGGCCTTACCAGCCGGATCCTGCAATCCAATCGGGCGCCAGTGCTTAAGCTCTCTTCCTGTCGTACCCGGTTTATGTAGCAAAAAAAGAAAAGCATCAGCCCAGCCCTGGGGAACACGAATGACGCCACCTCGCCAAATTTGTTCAAGCTCACGTTGAAGGATTGGAGTAACAATGTCAGCGACTGCCCTCCATGCCACACCCGGTGCGACCCCGCGAGGTACAGATTTTCTCAGAGCATGCTCGACCGCCTTCAACGAAACTGAAAAGGGCTGTGAAAGCGTGTGCTGATCCGCGATAGGAACTTCCTGAGATCGGAACCTGTCGGTGAAGAACTCGCATAAGCACTCCAATTCCTGTTTCGGGTTCAACATCTGACCATCCCTGCGCAGCTGCATAGTCACCCTCCTAGCTTTAAGAGTCAACTGCTTAACAATCTTATGAACCGTGTAGGAGTCACCTCTGTTGGCGGCCTCTTCCGCGCGCTGCGGCGCGTCCCTGCGCCCTGCCTTTTTCGCTGCTTGACATCGTTTTTTGTGAGCCTTGTGTGCACGATGGAATGTAGCCCATGCCTTCCATGCATTCCACATACCACGAATAGAACGATCCTGTTGTCGCATCTGTCTGAACAGTTTCCACATCACGTTGACACCCTCAACAAGAGTCTGATCCTCGATGCGATGGGTGCGTGCCTCTTTGTTCTTCGGAAAATAAAGTCATCAATGGTGCATTTTTCAGAAATACTGGCCTGAACTTGGTGCCGAAATTTGGTCAATGCCTCTGGTGGAGTGGACTGACTGAAAGCACGAGCCATAGCCAGTGCATTGGGTCGAGGTCCCAACTTCTGCTGTGTTTGTCTCCACCATGGTTGCCATGACACCTGATCATTGCAAAGACCGGGAAGTGTTTAGCTCCCTCACGCCATGCAGCAAGTTGAGTATCTCGCAGAGCAGTCCCTCTCTGGAGACAGCCGTCACGTTGCCTCTTCTGGTTTCTGGTGATAATGAGGTCAAGCTGTGATTTGATTTGACCAAACTCGACTGCTATCTGAGGTCTAGACGTACTCCAGCTGTTCTGCTAATTTTCACTCAAACAAAGGCGCCTGCGGAGTAGCGAAGTCAGCACATTGGGCTCAAACGAATTAAGGAGCTTCTCAAGTAAAACACATGCACATGTAAATACCGGCCAGGAAAACAAATGGAAAATACGTGTACATATTGCACGAGTACAAGGTGTGCAAAGTTTTGCACCCCGCCTAAAGCATGCCGAAGTCCAACTAAGGCCAATGCTTTCACATAACTTTGCGACTTCAAAAGCCACACTGTACGGAAGCTCAAAGCTACACTAAGGCCGGTATGACGTGGTAAACAAAGAGAGTACAACTAGTTTCACGACAGCTCCACTAAGGTTTCACTCGCGTGCGCAAGCGCTGCCACAACGGTCTTTGGCTGGACCTACCGTACTTGACACTAGAAGCTACAAACACGTTTGCGTTGTCTGACTACGGAAGTCGGTGGAGGACGCCTGGGCATCCATCACCAACTGTTGCATGGTTGACTCGGGCAAGCGAACCCGGTACAAGAGGTAGTGTAAGCAGCAGCTTCACGCAAGCGGAAGCAAAAGACTGACTTCAGGCAGAACGCTGAGTGAGGATGTGAACAAATGCACGGTCTTTTCCAAACACTCTAGAGCTTTCCGGCGCGGTCTGCATAATCACATGTGTTCTCATGCCACACATGATAAGGAAAACACTACAAAAAATCGTCAAGGAAAATGGGGTATGTTAGGAAGTGTCAAAAGTTAACACCCTCGGTTCACTGCAAAAGAAAGCTGCACTTGCCTTTCGCACACGGAAGATAATGTAGAGCAGCATCACGATAGCCCATTGCTCAGCCGTCATCTCAGGGATCAAACTCATCCCGACAAGCGCTGCAGTAAGCATGCCTGATCCAACATCCGCCGCATTCAGCTCGACAATCGTATTAAAGTCGAAACCCTGTCCACGCAGCCAGCTCAAGGCTCTGAAGAACATAAGGCAGATGAAGACCAAGGCTGCAACCATCATCGAGAAATCATTTCCTGCAGCATACAGCATGTGGCCATCGTCCGCTGCCTCCCCCAAGTGAGGAGCCATCATAATCGTGAGCATCGCGATCTGCTTGGCCAACCTGTTTGCATCACTCTTCAAGTTGCTCGAACACCCATGAGAGCGGGCATACTCCAGTCGAACGCGTTTCACCTGAGCTTTCACGGTTTCTCGCAAAACCATCTCTTCATACTCTGCACATCCAATCGGCTCTGCAGTATCGCAATCAGCAAAACCATGGAGAAACAGCAGGAGTTTCAGACGGCCCACTGGGTGCATTTTGGTCCAAAGGTCTCCCAGGTTATACGCCGAGGCGATCGCTGAGACTGTGATCACCTTCTCCTTGACCGCCTGCTGTAGCCAAAGAAGGCGGCCTGCAACATGACGTGTCTTGTTCCCTACGCCCTGGCGAAGTGCCAGTTGGCGCGCAGCAGAGTTGTCCAGTTTAAGGTGCAGCGAACACGGGGAGCACGACATGAAGGAAAATACCGATCTCAAGAATATTCCCTCGCAAGAAGCTGAAATCCCCGCGTACCATTCGGCCTCCGCTGAACTCAAAGACACTGTTCGATGAGACCTGCATATGTGGTGGAAAACGCACCCATTGATCGCAAAGCTGGCGCATCCAAAGGACTTCCGGGTAACCTTGTTCCCCGACCAGTCAGAGTCGCTGTAGATCTCCATATAGTGGTCCTGGTCATCATGTTGTTCAGCGTGATACACTGAAGATCCCGGCAGCTTCGGTGCAAGCACAGTAGCATAATGCATGGTGTTCAAGAGGTACTTGGTCAGCCGATGCAGTCCTTTCATAGCGGTCTCCGTTGGAGCAGACATAAAAGATGCAAGAACTCGCACACTGTAAGAAATGTCAATCCTGTCATTGGAGAGGTACAATGCAACTCCCAATGCGCTCCTGTACTTCCCAGCATCAGCAGGCCCCAAAGCAGCTGAACAGTCATCGCGGATCAAGTCGGGATAGTACGGTGTGTTGTGCTTCGAACCGTTCTTAATTCCAAGGATCTTGGCCATGTGTTTGATGTAGGTATCAGGTGTCTCTATGAGAATACCAGATTCCAGGATTGTGTGCTTGCGTTTGAGAAAAGAAAACACATCACCAAACTTGTGGGCAATGTCGACCGATATCTCGAACCGCGTCTTCAACGTAGGGATGTACGTCTCCTTGAGCCATCCCAACGGTCCAAGAGTAAGGCCATCATCAACATGCATAAGCATTGGTCCCTCTGGGACTCATGATCGCAGGGTTCTCTGTGCATGAAACCAACGGCATCTTTGACTTGAGAAAATCGACGTAATAATTGAACCATCTCTGCGCCCCGTCTCTCTGTCCCGGAACGCACTTCAGGAAGATGTATTTTCCAGATCCTACATAGTCAGCGGGCAGTCCAGCAATCACCGGGTCTTCCTGTGGCACTTCTAAATACGCATCTTTAACGTCGATAGAGGCTATTCCCCATGTTGTGTCCACCCTAGTAGTTCGCCACAACAAGAAGAGCAACGGTATGAGCTTCACCACGTTGGTCGTGGTTGACGGTGAAAAGAGGCCTTGCTTGTCCTTCAGCCATCTGTATCCTCTTGCTACGAGACGGCTTCGTCGAAGATATTGCGACTTGCCTGCGCGGCGTTTGCGACGCACGATCTCACCATTTTGGTAGATAAGCTTTTCATTGCTTGAACATTGTCATGTTCAGTCGCGGCACGCAAAACGCCTTTGCTCACTAGCCGCTTCACTTCTACCTCATCCGCTATC